ACGACAACAACAACAACAACAGCATCAACGACAACAGCAACAACAGCAACTACTACTACTACTACTACTACTACTACTACTACTGGTACTACTGCTACTACTACTACTACTACTACTACTACTAAACAACATGCGCTGTGCAAACCATGGCTGGTAAGTCTTCGAAGGTTTTGCTGAAAGAGCATTACGAGGGAAAAGGGCCTCCCCAAGGTGACAGTGCATCAGTCCCAATGCCGAAAGATATTCCTGCACCATGCAGACAAGGTGCTGACATGCAAACCGAGCATTTCAGTTCAAGCAGACGATGCTGGCCATAGCTGTTTTCATGCATCTTGATCCGAAATAAACGGCGCCAAATTGGCAAAGGGGATGTTCCGATGACTGTTTTCAAGGCAGTGGCTGCAGCTCGCACAAGCACACCGAATCCGGACTCAAGTAGACACATACACAGCAAAGAGGGCTTCCCAGACCCACGGGCCTTCGATCGTTTCATAGGCCACCTGCTTGAAAAAGACCTGTAAACCAGGCATGAGGAGTGCGACTTTCCGGACGGGGTGAGGAGGGTGAGGGCTCTCGTCGATAGTGTTGCATTTTGCCGCTTTGCACGAAACACGACTCCCTCCACTCAGTGAAAGCCTTAAAAGCGAAAGAACCTAAATCCCAAACCCTAGACCCGATTGTAAACCCTACACCGAATCAAAGCTAGACCCTCAACTCTGAATCCGGTCATCTGCATGCAACCCCGGGCGCCGTGGTCTTGCCAATGGCGTACAAGGGCATGCTTGCGGGCCACTTCAACTCCTCGCCAAGCTCCCCAGAAGGCATTATCATTATAAGATCTTGTAAGATGTTGTGAGATATCATAAGATATTATTATTATCAGCACTTGCAGCGTGTTAGACGCTCTTTTTAGCAGCTCTGCGGTGTTTGTCGGTATTGTTCAGCCACTTTCTGAACCTCTTTCTACAAGGGCTCGTGAGCCTCAATGGGCTTCTGTAAGTAGCGCAGGCCCAGGATTCTGCTCCAAGGATTCCAGCACGCTCCGGAAACCTAACAAATCCCATTTGATCACCAGGACGAGCCTTTTGAGCAGCTCCAAAGAACCTAAACCAAACACTCTTCCGCAACAGAGGCCCTGCGTGCCCCCGTGAACCTCAAACGCCAAATCCAGCAAGCCCTGAACCTCCCACACTCGAAACATGCAACATGCTGAAGCAATAGTGAAAGCGCCAGAAACTCCGAAGAGTCGATGATCTCAAAGAGCCTTCCAGAAATCTGCTAAACTGAAGAAGTGCAACTCGTTTGCCTTGGAAAGCTGCGCCAGAGACTCTTTGAGGCCTGAGCACTTTTGAGCAAACAATCCCGGAGCATGAGCCACAACAGCATTTCGGATGTGTTTAGGGCCTAGGGTTTGTAGGGTTCATAAGTTGATGATTTTCGAGAGTATCACAATGGGTTTGGGTTGTTCATGCTATGACATGACTATCGTTGGATCGGCTTTCAGCACTGAGGCGACGAACCTCGAACCTTGCAAGAAATGAATTGGGTCCTGATTCTGGGAGGGACACATGCGGTGAAATGGATCCGTCTCAAAGATCCACTACCCCGCAGGTCTCGGGTGCGCACAGGAAATCCCCCCTAGTGGCTTCAAGTTGTGTCTCAATTTATATGAACTTGAAGCTGCTGATGGGCAATTGCGTGTAAGACGCGCAGACCCTCGCACAGTCCTTACTATCATGAAGCCATTAAGCGTGACTTCCATGTCGTAAAGGCGATGTGGATGTTGCATGGCGCTTGGAAAATTTCGGATGGTGGCAGCCCGATCGACTCCAGTCAGATCAGCCGCGCAAAAGAAGATAATGACCACAAAGAGCGAACTTGACCGAACACTTGAAGCATCAGCAACTCTTATACTCACCCGTGTCATGGTCATGTTTGTAGCGACGGCAACTGGCAACCCCTCCCCTGAGACTGCGGCAAGCATCCAGAGGCAGCTTTCCAAACCTTTCCCGCTCCTCCTTGGCTAAGGCAATGCCAAATGATCCCATAAACCCTTTTGCCTAAACCCTCATTACATGAGCTGGAACCTGCAGCCCTGAATGCTGGCTGGTTCCGCCCTGTCCCCGTACCCTGCACCTAAATCTCCCTCTAACCAAGAGAAGAAAATAACTAAATGCCCGCATGAACGAAAGCCGTGCATTTCTAGACTCTCGAAGCTGCCCTGAGCCCCGGTCTGGCTTGAAGATGATGCTCAGGAACTCCTCTCTGCTCAAGGTTTGGGGGTTTCTGGAACGGGCAGCGGACCCCGAGAGGAAGGGCTCATGCTAGCAGATATCACTGACATGAGCGGATCTGTTTAGGGGCTTCAGCTGTCGGATCCTCAGGAGCTCATGCAGTTCTTGAGCCTGAAAGCCCCAAACACCAACGATCTCAACCGCTCCTGTAAGCAACTCGACCCACGCAGACCTCCCCGGAAAACATCCGATGTTGTCCCAACACTGGCCCAAAAACTCTCCCACCTTCCAGCAGGACTTGTGAAGGCTCCTCAAGGCATGGTATTCTGTTGTTAGAGGCATGGAGGTCTCGGTGACATGCCCGATATGCTCCGATCTCCGGGTCGTTCGGGGGGCTTTGGCGGCGTAGGGCTGTAAAGAACTGTAACTACTCTGCCACAAACGGAAAGGGTCAGACAGCTGAAATGGAGGCATGCTGCCCAGGCATGACTACACGAAACGAGTTCTGGGCCATGTAGTGCAGAGAGCTTCCAGACGGCTACAGCAGGAGCCACTGCGATGCGAAGAGTAACAACGTCCCAATCCGCCGTTGACTTCAGCATCATCAGCACGCTAGTCCTGCATGGGTAGCCGGCCCGCTGCACGTGCAAAGCTTCCTGGAAAGGCAAAAGGACCCTTTCGTGGACCACCAGGATGCATGCAAGGCCGTATCCAAGTCTGCCGCAGTGCCTTGCTTGCCAATTTCACCTCTCTTCCCCGAAGCCCAAAGCTCTAAACCCGTTTTGCATCCTGACTGGGGAGGCCCCTAAACCCTCAAAGGCTACCTGCGGCTTCACCATATGTTCAATCAAAGCCCAGGATCGATCACGCCGCCCGAACGGAGCTGCTCGACCACCAGCTGTCGTTCCAGGCGATCTGCGGTTCTTGGGCTCGATGTTTTGGTACAGGAGTCAGTGAGTGCATTTCCCAGAGTAACTTTTATAGGGTTTAATCCATGTAGGCCGTGAAGCGCTTCGGGTTTCGGCCTTTTGAGCCCCCCCGGTCTTGCACTCAGACGAGAATTCCGGGCGTGGGCCGAGGAGGGGTCCA